AAAAAAAAACTATATAGATATGTATATTGACTTCTTTTTTTTTCTAAATAATGTTGTCTTGTTTAAACTATATTTATCTTTTATTCGATAGCACTATTATTAACACTTACAAATATCTCTACAAATTTTATCCATAAAGAATTTGTATTGATAAGTACAAATTACATTTATTGAGTATATTGTAACAATGATCTTTACATTAAAAAAAGAAATAAACTCTATTAAAACATATTCAAAAGAAATCTTATTATATACGTTGTTCTCTATATCCTGATCAAATTTCTTATCTATTCAACACTTGATCTAACCAATCTTCATACATATTTAATCTTAAATCTTTTTTTTATTTCACTAAAATAATATTCTATTTAATTATACATGTATCAATGATACATTTATATTCATTAATTATTTATCAGATAGTATTAAGCGAAAGAAAAAAAACCTCTTTATTAATTTAAATACAAACACAATAAGTATTATTTTTCTCTATTCTAATCTGCTTTTATTAATTCACATTTTCTATATTCTTCTTATTCGAATAAAATTCTAAATTTAAAACATGGGAAAATATTTAGTTGTATACAATAATTGATAAAATAAACATTATTATAAATCGAAATGAATATAATAATTTAATTTGTAATACATATTAACAATTCGAAATCCTTTCAATAATATAATTATTTCAATAATTTTTTTTTCCTTTGTTTTCAAATTTCATTGGAATGTTATATGTCAAGATAAGAGTTATGCGACTAATGCAACGATAATTTGTCCTAGATCTTATTTGTTTGAGAACTCTATGTTGTTTTTCTTATCAACAGAACATCCTTTCCATTATCAACCGAACAAACGATTGTGTGGGCTGCTAATGTATATATCTGAGTTAGACAATTCATTGATATATCAACTGATCAACACGCCAACGCATATATAACATCTGATTCTAACATACTAATAACAACACTCCTTGACCGCTTTGATAGGCTCGACGATATAATCATCGTTAGCACAATTCTTATACTGAATAGGAGGATTGATATGTACGTGTATATCTCTCATCATCTTGGAACGATTTCTCATGTCTGCAGTCAATGGTAATTGGTAATAGCATAAGAAAAGAACACGCAGAAAAAAAGGTCTGATAACTTCCATGATAGATATGCTTCTATGTATATGAAACATATTTTTCCGTTTTCTTTCTCTTACTCTTACTCTCTTCTCTTGCCTTCATTACTTGATTATCTCTTATACATACTGTAGTGGCGCGCGCGCGCGCGCGAGTATGGTTTTTTTCTTCTTTATATACATTCTGGCACCAAAGTGAGAAAGACGGACAGGAGAGTGAAAGAATAAAAGAACTGCGCATTTTTTTTTGCTCTAGCTATTTGATGTGTGTACGTGTATACGTATTGTACAATTATTCCTTTTCTTCGTCTTCGTCTTCGTCTTCTTCTTCTTCTTTCTCATAGCAGTTGTGCATTGTCGTTTTTTCTTTTTTTTTTGGGTATACAATTTATTAGACAGAGAGAAAGAGAAAAAGAAAAAAAAAGTAAGAAGAAGAGAGAGAGAGAAAAAGAAAGAGACAAACACGGCGTTGAACAGTTTTGTCTTTATTAACAATGATGTTAGCGAGAGAACTACTGATCGTTAGTTTCTCGATATCGTTGATATCATATCGTCGTATTTGATTTTTTTTTTTTACTCCAAATTCATTCATTCATACTTACAAATTCAATTAATGTCTACGATTATTCAAAATTCTACTGGCAATACTGCTTCTGTTACATCCACTTCTGAATTAAATGGTAATAAAAAAACTGACACTATTGTTATCACTATTAGCGACGAAGACGATGACGAGAACAAAATGACAATCAAACAACATCATAATGATGAAGGTGAGTGTGAATAAAATGGACATATAATGAAAGTGTCATCCATTGTGATAGACAATTATATTAATAGAAAGTGGGTTGACCCGTTTCGAATTATATTTTTGAATTTAATATCATAGGTTATTATAAATGACAGGATTGAAATTGATTTCTTGTTTGTCTTTAAGGAAAAGAAAAAGATGAAAAAAAAAAACTATATGAAAGACTTAAATCGGAAACTACGGAAGTTAAGCTACTTTGTAATTTATAACGTTCATTAATGGAACGATTACCTTTGAGCATTACTTTCCTCTTTTCTTTTCTTTTAAAATCAATGGTGTTTGATGGTCTCCTTTTTTTTTTCTCTTTTTTTGTTAATATAAAATATAATAATTTTATCAGATTTCTTAAAATACACAATTCATTATTTGCTTATTTTTTTTTCATATGTATGCTTGATTTGACTTTATTAAGAACCAATAGAGTTTCTATTTTATTAATCAATGATGTTGCTTACTTGGTCTCTGTTTTTATTGATCACGTAACTCGAACAGATTTTGACCTTTTTCTTCTTATTGACCAGATAGTCTTTATCTAACACACATACACGTCTCTATTCATTGTTCATCATTAATCTTGTCTCTCATCAATATATATATACATGAAAATAATGTTTCGATTGTTGATATATAGCAGAGACCAATGACAAAATATTTATTGTTTATTACTATATATTTATCTATATGCTGATTCTATTATACATATATAAGTTTTAAGAAGAAAAGAATTCATGTATTATATACAATATTCTTCTCTTATAATGGAAGCAGTCAGCTAGGATAATGAGAAAACCAGCTGTATACTGATTTTTTTGACTATTACATATAATAATGTTTCTCTCAATAGGTGGTTTAAGTAATAGAATAAAAAACCTTGGGCGGATGTTAGAGGAACACATGCATAATATACACATACATACACCTATGAAGTTGACAGCTATTCAAACTCGTTATCGCTCACTAAGGTATACCTATCATCATTGTACAATAACGGTCAAATTACCTAACAGGTTGTCAATACCTTTCAACTAAAAGAGTACTCTTCAAGTAAACGAATAGAAATAAATCAATATATGTACTTAAAATTCTTCTTGTTTCATTTATTATTGATCGATATATACACATTGAATAATTATCCTTGAAATTTACTTTGTCTTTGTAATAACTATTTAGAAAGTTCTATAGCTACAACTTCTGATCCAATCACTGTATGTGAAGCACTTCGTCAACAAAATGATGCTCTTCGACAAGAACTTCATGATATACGACGAGTATGTATATTTCTTTTTTTTTTT